AAACCACAGGCAGACCCCACACCTTCATTCGGACTGGCCGTCGTCCCATGCACCCAAAGTAGTGTTTCCGCTGGACACGCTAAACATGGGCAGGGGGAGGGTGTAGCAAATTCTTTCATTTCATGACCAGGTGGTTTGACTGAGTGACCTCTTAGTGACCTTGCCAGTTATCACAGAGCTCTTTCCCGTCTTCCCACTCTTTATTTTATATCACAGGCTATTAAGACGGATTAAAGCATGTGGCAGATTTTACCACATCAGTTATTTATTGAGGAAATGGAATGAAGTGGGATCATGAATACTCCACAAAGGGGCTGCCTTTAAGAAATCATTGGTGCCAGTTTAGTGATGTGTCCCTCTGAAACCAAATGATTAAAAGCATGATTTCAATTATCTGGGATGCTGGTGACATTTACGAGTACCTCCGGAATTAGTGATAAGGAACCTTTACTAAATTTGTCGGTATTAAATTCTACAACAGTTTTCATTTAATGCTCTAATATCTGCAGATGGATGTTTTCAGGTAGCTTTACAGTGCCAGCTGTGTGAGTACATACTGCCTTAGGCTAGTCATCAGGTGTGTAATTCAAAAAACATTGACTCAAGGCCTAGACAGTTTTGTAGTATGTGCTAGACAATTCTCACAATTTAGCAGTTTATAGTCAAGTATGTATGTGAACTTGACTGGAAAACAGAATGGAAAAAAAAAAACTCATATTTGAGTATCCAGGCTCCTTTTGCTTTCCGGAAAAATATTTGTTGTCTGGAATTTCCCCCTAAACTCAGTTACCTGTGTGCTCATGTCCCTCTGACTCTGAAGGAGCTGTATGTGAGCTGGGTGTGCTTCAACAATGGAAACCTGCTGAAGGGGTGGGAGATGTGACAAGACTGCAAAGCTTTATAAATGGATAACAGAGCCCTTTTATGAGTGTGATGAGAATACAAGGGAAAAAAAAGACAGGAATGGATGAGAGGCACCTTCACGTCTTGCTACATGCTGCAGCTTCAGCATGTTCATGAAGTTATACTGTAGTAATGTAAACCTTCATATCTCGCTGTCATTCTGTTGTTTACTGAGGTGTAATTTCTGCACAAAACACTAATACGATTCCATTGTGTGTTTTTAGAAGTGGCGGTATCTTTCCTATCCTTAAGCACATGTCTGCCATCTCTTGAATAATTCTTTTTGTTCTGCTTTGAAGATCATCTCTTCTTTCTCACCTTTGGGAACACATAAATGCTTGCCCTTGGTGTACAGTCTGAGACTGTAACAAAGATGTGTTTACACCTCTAAAACTGTGGTGTGAGCTGATATGTTTTCACCTTGGCACATAGGTTAAAATGGTAATAACTGTAAATTAATCATTTAACTCGGTTGCCTTATCTAACACCTTCAGAATGTGTTCTTACAATAACAGCCATCTGCAGACATGTACTGTATGAATCTGTACCTCACTCTTTGTAATGGCTTTGCCTGTCATGTTAAGAAGAGGTCATTCTTTTTGGCTTATAGAAAGCAGGAATTTTGTGCCACTTTCTTATAAAGCACCCCATTATAGAGGATGTGTAAGTTGTAAATAATGGATTTAATTAATCATTCACTAATTATTTATTGATCTGTTCTGAGCCATTAATAAGAACAGATGTGGGGATTCTTAAACTCCCAAACACTGTTGTCAGTATCAGCCTTAAAATGTCCAGTACTGGTTGGGCTATAATCACAATGGGGTAGTGCAAGTTGAACTTAATAATGTATTTTAACTAATATACTGTATAATGATTAGCATGTGGCTTGTAAACTATTAACAAAGTCCTAGCTACGACGTGGAAACCCTTTATAAAGGGTGCGTTATAAGAAGGTAGCATCAGGGATTCTCACATTTGACTGTATTCTTTTTCAAAGACCTAGTGAGAGCTATGACTGGGTCACCTGAAACAGAATTCACTATAATTTCAACTTGACAGTTAGGCCTTTGTTGGTACCAGTATTAACTAGCCATCTCCCTTTCTGTTGTGTTTACAGAAAACTCCACCTATGATGCCTCTGGCTCCTTGTCTCTACCTAGCGACCCCGCAGTCACAGCTGCTCCTGTTCACCCACTGGCCAGCCTGTCGGTGAGGGAGGAGACACCTTTCTCAGTCGTCCATTCAGAGGGTGACTCAGAGTCTGAGGGGGAAGGTTTGCCAGGGCTGCCTGCCTTTTCCTCTGTCTTAACTGTCATGGCAGGAACTGTCAAACATCCAGTGGGCCTTGATCAAAGTAGAACCTCACCGACTATTACCAGGGACAAGAGTCGCACCACCCAATGGCCTTCACACAGTGCCAGCCAGAGCTTGGAGATGTCTTCCTCGTCATCCCATGTGGGAGATATGATCCTCCCTGACAGTTCAGGTGTGACTTCCAACATGTTTCACCAGCACACCATACCACCTCAGGCTGCTAGCATGTCTTCAACTGTGTCTGGGCCATCACATGTGTTAATGGATGGACACAAGAATGTAGCCTCATCTTCATCATCATCATCATCATTGTCATCATCAGTGTCTTCATCAGCTTCACCTATTTCCCTTGTGTTTTCATCCTTTGAGCCTTTACGTTCTCTGTCATCTTCCACTCAGTGGATAAACAAAGCTGCATCATCTCATGGTCAAAAGGTCTGTGTCCAGTCTCACACCAGACAGAAGCAGCAACATTATCACCAGCAAATTCTTTGGTTTGACAGACAGACTAACAAATCATACATAATGTGTGCAAGCACAAAAGCAATCAAGACACCAGCACATATACATCATATTCTACTCATAGCCATGGAAAACATCTTTTAAAGATTTTATAAAAGCCCACTCACACCCAGAAACCAGGTATCAGTTCCTTCTCAGCCAATAATCTTGAAGTTACCACCTCATTTCCCTCTAGTCAAGGGAGTCAAGCTGTTCAAAGGCTGCAGAGAGATTCACAGAATCTCACATCAGCAGTGTTTGCCCATCCTAAAGGCTATTCAGTGTCTCACAGCACAGAGCAGATATTAAATCGAACAGTGTATGCAGAAAAGGAAGACACAACAGCAGAAAAGAGTCAGACATTGGTTCACAAAAGCATTAGAAGTACAATTGTGTCGCCTCTCAGTTCACATGTTGTTAATCCAACTGTTTCACCAGCAATAACGTTCCAATCCACTGGATCATTTTTTACAATTTCTTCCACAACTCCACCAGGTGAAACATCTCCCTTTGAGCCAGCAATCACTAAACTAGCCCCTATCCACTCTGGCACGGTGTCCTTAGAGCATGCATCTAATCCTGGTGATTTACTGATGGCCGCGGGTCACGGCAGCCCCACAGTTCCCACCATCAATATAAATTACAACCAGGGACTGATAGCAGGAGCAGAGCTCAAATCTATTTCCACTCAAGCTCACCAGAATAACTCACTTTCACTCTCACAGCTGAGGCCTGAGTCCACTAGTGGCTCCATCTGCAATTCGATCACCAGAACAGGAACAGCCTTCTCCACATCAGAGTCAGAGGATATGACCTATAAAACCATGTACGTAAGTCTTTCGCACCCCACTCGCCCTACATATTTATTGCCCTCATTTGTCAGCCACAGCCCAAACCACAACAGAAATGTGGAGAGTAACACTGGCATGTCTGCCATCAGTGAGATAAAGCCTGCAGACCAACCCAAAGCCTCATTATCATCCCCAATAACCCCCTCACAAAGACCTTTTCAAACACGATCTTTACTTATGTTTGCACACAAGATTTCTACAATATCAGATGTAATTCCATCTCCTGGTAAATCTCATCAGACAGTGTCCTCAGCTGAAGTAACTGCTTATATCACAAAATCTGAGGCAGCTGGCAACAGTGGGTATTTGACTTCAAGGCAGAAACAAGTGCAGAAGATGCTAAAACACCACCAGCCTTCATTGTTTATATGCCATGTGGAATGAGACCTAATGATTGCTTCCACATAAATACTGTAAAGAGTTCTGCTATATTTGATGGAAATAAAAAGTCTACTCTGATCAGAGATGCAGCGTTTTACATGAAGGGTGTTGTTTCAAGGTAGGTCACAACACAGTTTACATCTGTCATGACTGGAAAAGATGTTTTTATGTTGGTTGAAGGCTCTGAAGGTGCTGGCAAAGGATCTCCCACTGAGATCCCCTTTTCACTAGTAACCACTGATGCTACACTAGAACCTCATAAAGGCTTCCTCATGAGCGCAATGTGACACTCGTGGGCCTTTATGAAGAGTAGTCTCCTTCCTCCTGGTCAGAAATCATCCCCACACCAAGGACAAACTCTTCTTCTCACTCTCGGGGACCAATCACCAGTGTGAGCAGTGTTAAATCAAAGTTTTATTTAGGCATATGAACAACCATTCCCTCCACTGCTTCCTCTGCAGCAACTACTTCCTCCAGTGACAGACAAAAGAGCACAGAGACAGTGAGTGCTATTTTCAGCTTTGGCACAAAACTAATGGCATCACATACAAAGTGGAGAGCCTCCAAGGTTGTGCCTTTTCAAAGCAGTGTCTTTGAATCAGAAAATACATCTGGTGCCTTTGATAGGGAAAATTCCAGTTTAGGAGCAGATGGCCCATCATATGAACATCCAAAGCTGGAAAAAGGACAAGAGCATATTGTGCATGTATTGAACTCAACTGATCCAACAGTTGTCCTCAGAGATCCATATTTGGTTCATCCAACTGTTGGAGAAAAATCTTTTACATATGTTACAGGAACATCAGAATCTAAAGAGCGGAGTCTGAATTTGTCCCAGGCTGATCTCACATCTGCCGTGACTGTCAGTGTACAGCAAGGAGCCACTGTAGACACTGTTGCTCCATCGGCATGGGGTTCAGAAGGTGTTCTGCCCCTCTCTGACTCTGTAAACCCTTTACAAGCTACTTCTCTTGCGTTGGTGCAAAAGAGCAGCCCCTCTTTGGCAGATGATACTGCTGTCTCACTTTCAAACAACCCTGCACACAGATTCTCTGATAGTGACAATATCAGCAGTACAGCAGATTGAAAACTAAAAGGGTTCATGTCACCAAAAGCATCTCAGGTGTCCTCCATAAAACCTGCCAGCTTAGCTACCCAGACTAGGTTTAGATGATATATTGTCATCTAAACCAACCATGTACCCAGACACTGCATTATCATTTCTGTTTGTCAAAGCTGTGCCACCCATGTTTTCACCCCGTCACCCCATCTGATCTCAATAGATTCCGATTGCTCCCAGCAAGTGACTGAGAGGTTTGTTGTTGTTGCAGAGGCGGGGACAGATGAGTTAAATGCTGGAACATCCAGAGCAGTTGTGCTCACTTTCCCCAAAGAAAAAGAGGCCAGTCTAACGCCCTCTCAATCAGTCAGAATTACGCTTTCTGCTGGGCCCACCGAGAGGACATCTCAGGTACCACCTCTGCCTCCTCGACAGGATACCACAGCAGCCTCTGAGACACTTACCACCACAACTGTAGCTTCAACCACCAAAACGAAAAACCAGACAACTACCATGCCTTCCCTTCCTGTATCCACACAGTCTACCACCACCACTAGCACACCACAGCTCACACCTGTGACCAGGAGAACAACTACCACCACATCCATCAGGACGCCAACCAGCAGGAGGACATTCACTCTGCCTGTCCCGAGAACAAGCCCTCCCAAGGGCACCGCCCCCATCTTCATCTCCCCTTTCTCTACCACCACAGAGGCTCTGCCACAGCAGTGCAACATCACAGAGAGAATGTGGGTGAAAACAGGTAAACAATACTTTTGCCACAGTCTTGAAAAATAGTGAAATAGTGAAATGGTGTTATTTTTATAATGAGTTTTGTCTGGTGTGTCTTTCTGTGTCTTTTTGTTTGTTTATCTTTATATCTCTTAGTTGTTTCCATCTATGTGAGAAGAAACAGGCTGGACAGCATCCAGAGGCAGAACCTGCGAAGGGGACTTAGTCAGGGCCTCCGAAAAGCCCTGAATGACACCTCTGCCCAGGCACAGGTCAGACTGTTCACTCAAGAAAACCTTATCAGCTACTGGATATGTACTTAAGATCTATTTTTACGTATGTGGAGTTTTACTTAAACAAACAAAATTATGTTTGCATAAATAATCAGAATATTTTGAACACTGATGAATAGTTCCTAATTGTGGTGAGTCCAGAAATATGGCGGAGTGAATTGGACACTTAAACCAAGGACCCTCATGTAGGCTACATGAGAAATAATGAGGACTAATATAGAAATTAGGTTGACTGATTGTGTCCCAGAAGGCAGTGGGTGATGTCACATCTTTGAGTAACTGTACTTACAGGGCTGTGGCAGCACTGCAGGCGAGAACTGTTGCTCATATTCTCATATATTTACAAGAGACTAACTTATATTTACAAACAGTAAATATAGAGAATCTGTAAACATTTCACCAGAAGGAGTGGACGCACTAGATTTGGTTTAACAAACATTCATGAAGGAACCAGTGGCATCATTTCCCCTGCAGTAATGACACAAATGGATCTTGTGCACACACAGTGGTCTCTGGTCTCTGTGTCTGTGGATTAGCCCGTCGTGGTTCCCACTGTGCCAAAACCATCCAGTATTCCTCTGTTACTTCTGCTTGCTGTGTATCAGGAGCACCTCTTGCCTAAGAGAGACTCTAATAAAATATAGTCAGTGTGTAGCCGAAATAGAAATATATATGTTGTAGTCGTTTAAATAGACAGGATTTCTTAAGGGAACCATGTTATCTAGTTGCAGTAGGATGTTGTACTGAATATGTGAAAAAAGAAAGGCTGATTGAATTTGGTTTAAAAAAAAAATCAGGCAGCAGGTGCTTGAAAATAAAAAAACCTCCCCTCCCAGTCTCTGGTGGATTAGAGTGGCTTTAGAGTGCTGCAATTAAGTGCACCTCTGTGTGTGTATGTTTCTGTGTGTGCACAAGTTTTATTGTATATCTGCAATCCAGTGAAATGTCTCGCCATGAAGTATCAAATAACTGAGAGGGGTGCCTGTGTATTTGTCCTGCCCATGTGAAGGTCAGTGCTCTCACATGTTCCCTCTCTGTCTGTAGTCTCTGAAAGTGCCATGCTTCACTGCACTGCTGTCACCCATTTCAGCATTGCATGGGTTCCTTTTAGTAGCACTGCTCTCTCATCCAATGGGAAGCAAGCTGTTGGCAAGGGAAATTGCTTCTGTGTTTAATTATAGGTTATAAATGGTTGGAAGGAGAGCGATGTGCCGTGCTAATGCTTAAAAGGATGATGAGAAATAGACTACACGAACCAAACCACAAAACTAAAACCATTTTGAACCTGTAAGAAATAAAAGTGGGCTATTTTTGCGTCTTCTAGTCAATTGTGACTAGAAACTTTTTGGATGCTAAAACAGAAATCCATTGAGTTAATCTGTTGGCAGTCTTTCACACTCTTTGAGAAACAGTTAGTGGACCGATCTCTGACTTGCTCGAAAGGCAGTCTCTTACACCTTCACATGGGTGAAGCCTGAGAGGATGAAGTGATAAGGGGCTCTTTTCACAGAGCTCATAACAAGGCTGAATTGTGAGGAGGCAGGGTGGTGACTCTCAGCTACTCACAGAGACCGTAGGCTCTCAGTGTTTTGGCCTGTGGATCCATTGTGTCAGCACAGGCTTTCAGATGGGTTTAGATAACAAACCTCAGTGATTTCTCCTCTCTCACACACCTAGTTTCACTACATCTGTCACCATTCCCCTTCTGGGAACAGCAATCATAGTTCACCAAAAGTCAAACTCTTACTGACAAACATTAACGTTTTTATAACGTCATGAAACAAAGTTCGGAAATGCAGAGATTTCACCTGTATTTCTGTGCAAATCAGAACACAGTGCTACCTGGCCTCTTGGGTTGGAACTGAAGGAACATAAGCCCCTTTGTCCCAAAATCTCTATTTAATAGTCTCTCCCATGTCTCGTTCGTCTCTCCCCAGCAGTCCTCAGTCCCTCCTGGTGTTCTCTTCACATATTTATATTCCACGATCATTCTGTTCTTTAAGCTCTCATTAACGAATAGTTGGAATACACTCTTACGTGCTCCATCAATTCAGTACAGTTCAATATCTTGTCATAAAGCTTGTTCGCCAATATGTCTGGTTGCCAGGGTGCTTTGATCCTGTTTAAAGGACCATGCCACAATATCCAATATGTTTTTACCAAGGAACCCCAAAGAATTTACTTCTTTTCCCTTTAGTATGGTATGAAAATAAACAGTAAACTTGCTTCAATATAGGTGTTTGTAACTGTAATAAGGAAAAGCACAGGTGTTACTAATATCATTAACAGCGCCTCTGCTGTGTCATGTCCCAGTAAGATATGGACATGTGACCATGTGATCCTATTTAATTCAGTCAGCAGTCATTTCATTATTTACACCTGTGACATGTCAAATATCTGTTTTGAAAACCAGCTATTGGAAAAAAGCTTTCTAATCAGTGACTCTGGTAAAGGGAGTAACAGTCTGTTCATGTCAGACACTTTATGATAACACTCATACAGAGACACCAGTTACCGACAGACTGTCTGCGGTGTACCCTGCTTCATGTCCAACACCAGCTGGGACAGGCTCCAGCTCCCCTGGATGGATGGATGGATGGTCTACTTTTATACTGTTGTTTGGATGTTCTTAACAAGGTTATTGTGGAATATAGTTTCATGATTGTTGTATTTTGTTTTTACTTGAACTTTTAGTCTTTGAACTTCTTACCATTAAATTTGCCTTGACTTTTAAGAGTTTGCTGTAATTGCTGTTAAAGAGCAACTTAGCTTTTAACTTTTTACTGACCTCCAGTGGGTTAATTTGTAGGGCAGTTATGTACAAGTGATGTACACTGTTGAGTGTGATTACAGCGGTAACAAGCACACTATTAGTTGTGGTGTGGTCAGAGGTACAACAGGCTTGCAACTTGCAATCCGAGAGGTCACTTTTTCAGCCTACTGTTAAGTTACGTTCTAATGTTAGCAGTGGTTTGAGCATTGAGCAATTAATGGGGTAAAAAAAACATGTAAAATATTTCAAATATTGCTTCTCATATTCATCTAATTTTGTTTTTCACTTTACTGTCTCAGGTGGAGACTGTATTTGGCTCTCCCAACATGACGGTGGCTTATCATGTGACTGGAGGGGACAGGGTTTACCCCCCCTCTGTGGTGTTGGAAGGCTTGGACTCCTATGGCCGTGATAAGCTGATTGCAGACCTGCGGCAGTACCTCCCCATGGTAACAGCCCTGCCCCTTCCAGCTGCATTATGGAGACCCAGCCCAGCCACTGGATTCCAACTGAAAACAGGTCAGCTAGAAAAAGCAAAATATGTCAGAAATCAGCTTGAGACATACTGTGATTTGTTCCTGCTCTGATTTTGGTGTTTGAGAACTAAAAAAATAAACTCTTGTGTTACTGCATCAGAGGAAGAAATAACAATATTACATTGCTAGGCAGAATCTAAGTTAGGGCGTAAGTCCAAGGACAGTGAAATCATGTTGTTGTAGCATCCAAAAGAATTTTTAAAAACACCATGATCCGTTTTTTAAGCTCATCTTATGTCTGTGTTGCAGTGCTGCAGTTTGTGGGGGCAAGTGATGATCCTCTGTCCTGTCGATTCTCTCAAATGATGGAACAGAGGCTAGAGAAGGTGTTCTCTGAAGCACAGGCCAAAGCGCTCAGCACTAGCAGTAGGCTTTCTGTTCAGGTACCGTGGCGTAACGAGGGTGCTACATTTTCAGCACTGTGTAGGTGTACCTCTTTGTTACAGTGGCAAAGCTGTGGTGCCTGTGCTTAAACTTGTGCAGTGGAGTGCTGTGGTGTCAAAGAATCTGATGTCTGATCTGATGTCATCTTTATTGGTTCATGCACCAACTCAAATATATACACATACTGTACTAGAGTTTACTAAATATTCTTTTCAGTGTATTTGAATAAGCATACAGTTACACAGCGCTATTATCATGTGGTTTGGGTGATTTGGCAGCTACAAACTGATGAAACGTGTGCGCACTTTGAGAAAATTTGTCCCATCAGGCTTTGCCTTTTAAACAAGAATGTCTTCTGAGATGCAAATGAATTATGTTTGGGGACGTAATGTTTGTGTTCATTTTAATGAGCTGCCACATCAAAGTGCACTCTATGCTAAAGCTTATTTGATGGATTTTCATGGAAGAAAAAAAATATTTTATAATATCTTTGGCCTTTTTCATGCCTTGCCAATTTCTCAGCTCGTGTGTGATTTTCATAGTATTAAGTTAATTCAAGACAATAATGGATTTTTTTGACATTTGTCATTTCTGCTATGTCATTTTGTTCTACAAATTTTTTTCTGGGCCCTCTTCTTTCTCTGAGCCTGTACACATCCTGTTTTTCCACCCAGATGTGGAGTATCTCCCAGGCACCAGGCTCTCCCAGTGTGTCATTGGTCTACACTGTGAGGAATGGCACTGTCTTTCTTAATGGCACCACTGCCTCAAATCTCCTTGGTCAGCTGTCAGCTGAGCTGGTGGGCTACTTCCTCTTCTATCCACCACTTATCATTGCTGAGCGTAAGTTATTGTACAGTTTGGATTCTGAAATACGTCTGTTAGTTGAGAGTAATTCAACAGCCTTACATGAACCAGAGGTTGTTTGTTCTCCAAATGCGAATAACAAAACAGGTGTTGTGTTGTGATTTTGCTTGTTTTTAACTGTTGAAGTCTTCTAGAGGTTTTCTATAAACTTCTCATTCAGCATGTTTGTGCTTCATCTTTGGTTCTAGACATTTGGACATAGATGCATTTACATGGAGTGGACTTATTCAGAAAGCATAGTATGTATTCAATGATAGAACTCAGGAATTTACTCGCTCTGACTGCCATCCTGTTTCTCTGTAAGTGTGCCTATGGGACTGTTCTGCTGCTTTTATGATCCAAGTCATTTTCAATGATTAGGTCCCTTAAACATAGTTGAGATTTCCCCCACCCTGCAACCTTCTTCAGGATAACTCGTATAGATAATGGATGGATGGAAGGAACATAGCTGGTCCAAAGACACAACAAATTCCTTTCATTCCTTTCATCTAAGCCTCCTGTGAGAGCAAACTCAGCATACTCAGCCTGGTGTCCTGTTTGTTTAGAGCTGTACTAAGAGAAAAACAAATGAAGAGTGGCAGGGAATCGGTGGGAGTCTAAACATAAGTCCCAGCAAAGTCCCTATATGCAGCCTGTTTTCATCCTCGATGTAACTGGGGAATGATATGTACAGCGTAGTGCTCAGCAGAGGGAGGTATGGCAGATGCTCAACTCAGAATGACAAAGAAACATCATTTTTATTGATCCCTCAAGGGGACAGTAACTGCTTCTCTGTCTCATGCAGAATACAAATACAGGTTCTATATTATAATATATGAATATAGGTTCAGCAACCTGATATAGGAGTTTACATTCTACATTTGTGCTACACTTGTGTTTTTAGTGTAAACAAAAGCCATGGAATTTTAACAATGTATTGTATTTAATGTAGGAGCATTTATCTGCCATTGTTTTGAAGCAATAAAGTGAGGCATTTTACCTAAAACCTCTACAGATGGCAGCCAATATCAGGAGCAGGGTAAAGGACTTATCCTGATCAGCAGCTTTAGGGCACATCTACACCTGAGGCCTTTCAGCCACATTTTCTGTCATCCGACTCACTTCTCTAATTAGTACAGCTGTCTACGCGGTCTGTGTACAGTAACAGCTCGCATTTCACTGTTTAAACATGACCTGAAGCTTCAGACACTTCAGGTTCATTTGGCTGTGTTGTGAGCACTGCCAAAATGTGGGTGACCTACATTCAGTACTTTGCCTGAACACATCCCGTGCAGACACTGGGCTTGTTTGAGTTGAGCCAGGTCTGCACTGAATCAATGTGCTGATTAGTTTTCTGTCAGGCTTGATTCCAATGTGCTCTGACATCTTTCAGACATAGTCAATGATAACGTCATGAGGTCAAGACTGCCACAGTTGTTCTTCCCTGCTTGCAAGACCTCAGCTAATAATGAAAAACACCTGACTCCCACCCAATCTGGGAACTTATTGGTTTAACAGTTAACAAAATGACATTTTATTTAGAAAAATGTTGAATTGCAGAGATTTTGATCATATTAGTAAGATTTTGCACTATGAAAGTTTTTATTCTGTGTCAGATTAAATGTGTGGTCATTAGTGTTTTTATCAGTCAAAAAGGCTGGATGCATTCAGTTTACTATCGATTCATATTTATTTGGTTTGAGAAGGACAGGTCCAACACTGAAATCTGGGCATTTGATTTATGTAAAAAGAGACTGAGAAGAGAATTGTAGCCCTTCTTAATTTTAATGTAAAACAAGTGAGTAATATGAAGGCTGCACCATAAACGCTGAGGGCAAGATTATTGAGTTTAATAAAGCCCAGAAGCGACAACAAACACAGCAGATAATCCAGCAATAAACCAAGGGAACAGGGAAACATTTATTCTAATGGAAGAAATCAGGTGAAGTGGCTGTAGGTGTAATGAGAGAGTCATAACAATGAGGGCTGAGAGACTGAGCAGAGCTGGAGGGAAAATCCAGGGAATTGGAGACAGGATTGGAAATCTCAGTTTCTAGAAAGATCCAGAGCTGGGGAAAACATGGGGCAGAGACAGAACCAAGACTGTGACTGTGACATTAGAAGAGCATAGCTGAAATAACAATTATGGGAGACTGAATGTAAGCTGAAGAGATTGGTTTGAGTTAAGTAGACAGGCAGTCATCAATATGCAGAGGCCCACGCCTGCAAGTTACACCTCTGGTTAGGATTCTGTTCAAGCAGAAATAAGCCTCCGTAGCTTAAAGACTATGGCCCCTAACTAGCTGCAGTGCTTTGGTCAGGTTGACAAGACAGAGCTTTAGCTATGCAAGATCATGCTCAGGATAGCAGCCAAGTTAATGCTTTAGTCAGGAAATAAGACAGGGCTTCCTTGTATTACCTGAGCCCAGCACTGAAATCATTTCTTTGAAACTTCCTCATTCTCCTTTGCTGAGCCCAATGGACAAATAAGCTTTGGGTCTTCTCTAACCTCCCAGAGTGAATCTAGCTGGACACAGTGTTGCAGTACTCGAGTATCAGACTTGAGTTCTGATTTTCAGGACTTATAACTCGACTTGGACTTGAGCACGGATGAACTGGACTCGCACTCAAGCACTGGATTTGGACTAGGAAGCTGGAGACAAGGACTCTGACTTCTTTTTTTCTGAATAATTTGGCATAAGATACTGACACTGATATTCACACTGTTCACTTCTAAGTATTGTGTGTGTCCACATATGAGTGCTTGACTATTGTGTCATATACAGTAAGGAAACTCCTTTTAAAATGGTGAGAGCTGTGCCAGTTGTGTTTAATGTAGACCTTGATGACTCAGACTGGGGACTCGACTGGTTATTCTTTGGTGACTCGGGCTTGACTCAGACTCGAACACTGGGGACTTGAGACTTGATTTGGATAGATTATAGGATACTGAGGGCCATATAAGATGCAGATATAAGCTACAAAATTTGGAGATTGTGTCTTCCAAACTGGGAAAAAGATGGTTGTATTTCTTGGGTTTCAGTGGTCGCATGTAATTCAGCCTTCAAAGGATGCAGCACCTGAATAGAGGTACAGCATCAGTGTCACTGAGTGTTGGTTTACACACTCTTCACAACAAGATAAATGTTAGTGAGCATTCAATTAAAGCTCACTTTGTGTTGTGATTGAATAAAGTTATAAAGTGAAGTTGCCCACAGGCAGGATGATTCATTTGGGGAGCAGAGAGACAGGAAGGCAACTGAAGGAGATGGGAGCAGAAACTGAGTGAGACAGAAGAATGAGAGAGTGTGTGACAGTGATTTTACTCTGTTTTGTATCCTCGCTGCTAGTGATATTACACTGTTCACAGGGGTGTGGGCATATGCTGGCAGTAGCTGCCTTCTCACTTAAAAGCCAATTATCACAGTAAATAATTAACAGTGGGAGGATTCTCATACCACCTTGGGCTCTGCTCTAAAAGAAAGGGCCCAGGCTCTCACACCACTCTGTTCCTGTGATGCCTGTGTGTAGCACTAGGTACTTCGTTGTTCCTGTGGTGCCTGTGTAGGCTGGACTGCTGCGTTCATCTCTTTTACTCCCCCTCTGCTCTTCAGCAGTTTCTATCACGTGGAATATGAGTGAGGCTGCTCGCAAAATGTCTCTTTTTACACCATAACAGTCACAGAAAACTACAACCTAAATGCTGATGCAAAATATGAAATATTGTTTTAATAATAGCTTTCTATTGCTGAATTGGGAGTTGTTTTTTTTTTTTTTTACTTCTTGGAATGCTTTACAACTTACACATGCTGTTCAGCTTGGATCCCCAGGCTCTTGCCACACAACAGCAGAGGCTCATGTGAAACCTCCATGCTGGTTTATTTGCCACATGAGTCAAACTTATAGACAGCACTTAAACTGATTTTCCTGCCCTTATTGTTCCTCTCATCCTGCCCACCCTTCTCTCCCCTCTTGTGTCATGCCCAACTGTACATTTATGTAGCCACTGACACAGCATTCCTCCAAACACTGCACCAGCCTTTAGCACAAGAGCTTAATCAGGCAGGAAATAGCTGTAAGAGAACACAAAGACAACCTGAGCTCAGGCTGCTGAAAGCCGCCCTTGCTTCTGTATTTGTCTGACATGCTGTGATAATGAGGCTTTTAAACTGTGATCAAAATATGAACTGTAAACTCTTCGTGAAAGGCTGCAGAAGTCTCTGTATGTTTTTCATGGATTTACAAGCCCTGGTTCCCCAAATATAAAAGAGAGAGAAGTGGCAAGCAAGAGCACTTGTTGATGTACAGTTGGTGGTAGCTGTACAGCTGCAGCAGTGAAAATGACATCATCTTTATTATTGTTCTTAAATGATTCTTAAATGACTGAAATAAATGCAGCAGCTTATTGTTGAGAGTTTGAAATTGTGACATTTAAATGGAAATGTGGAAACTAAACCTAAATCACAATGTGAAGAGGTGTTAAAAACTATCATGTAACATTTTTTATTTAACTTTCATTTTCAGTAGCTGTTTTTTACAGTATGTATTCAAATTGTCACACAATCTTTACCTTTTGTTGCCTTATTTTGTGTTCTTCTGACATTAATAATAAAGTATGTAATACCATTTCTGAAGTAATACAAAGATTGACTGTTGACTGGGTTTGTTTGGGCTTTTTTTTTGTATTGCAGCTCTGGAGTATCACAATCTGAACACCTCCATTGCAACCAGAGATTTCTGGGTTATTACAGGCAGGGATATATATATATATATATATTAAACAACTGCAATACCTTGTGGGCACACCTGTCTCTGTAATGATGCAGATTTTATCCATTGTATTGCAGAAAACGATCATGTTCGGCTCTCAAGGCGTAATGTGTCTGACTGTAGGAGCAATTAGATGAATAAGACTTCTGAACTCTTTGTTGTTTAACCTGTGGATTTTATGAATGACTACACATACTGAAGAGCAAAATATATTTCAGTGTTCCATGACACCCACTCTGCTTTGCCATATTGTGGGTGGGCTTTTCATATCAGGCTGCGTAGCTTTTAACCCTGCACTCACTACAATGAGGTCATCACCTACATAATGGGATTTACTCACAGTGAATAAGATGTATGACCAGGATTATTGCATTTTAGCTGTTGCTAAATAGAACAGATTAAAGCTGAATTTGATGATTTTTGCTCATTAGGGGAAAGAAAGACTCCCAAATGAGCTTTAAGGAAGCATATCCATTTATTTATCATCAGCCTAAGATGTTTTTCTGGCTGATAACCTATCCATCAGACACAGGACTCCTAGGTTTTACAAATAACCACACACAGCAGCAAGTGCAGTGGCAAGCGCCGTGGCAAGCACAGCGACCTGCTCTGCAAGCCTTGAAAGTTTAACATAATCAGACTGGCAGAATGTCAGGAAAATTAGTGGTCATCCATGTGAGATCTATGGTTTTGCCTTTTTTTGTAATGCTGCTGCTACTGGACTGGATGTCTGGAGTCACTGTCAGGGTCTCAGTGAAACAAGTAGAGGTGGTTTATTACAGTCTTGTAAGTGCTTTTAGTATTGTAGATACTTAGAGAAGGATTGCTGTGCTTTAACAGTACATACATGAGTAATGAGTAAGGTGAAAATTGGCATGACAGTCAAGCGTCTCTTTTTTCACTCTCTCTCACACACATTTCTAATTTTGCCTCTATTTCTCTCTCTTTTTTTAGCTGCTCTGTTTCCTCGCCAACAATTTATTTTCTCTCTTAACAACCATCTGGCCATCCTCTTTCTTTTGTCTGTATTTGCAGTCATCCAGGATGTGGATAACGCCAGCCTGGAAGGACAGTACCAAAGCTTTGCTAGTCTAATGGAGCAGCGGTTGGCAGAGCTGTTTGTGTTGGCAGGCCAGCAGGGCACCCGTTTTAGACGAGCCACTACTGTAGGCAGCTACACTGTCCAGGTAAGAAACTGGCATGGCAGCCCACATGGAATGGCAGGTCTGAGTTTCTCTGGAAGAAAAAACAGTCTAGGATGCACAGGGTTAGATTCTTATTTTGATGACAAAAGTCCAAGTATTTGTGGTCAGCCCCTGGTAATTACAAGAGGGAGTTTCTCAGTTCATCATCTGCTAGATGTAAAACAAGCCAGAGGTTGAGGTTTTACAAAGCACGTAGTCTCTGCTGTCTGTGTGTTTTCTCCTCTCATGAGACTCTATGCCTGGATACATGGTATTACATTTGTTTTCCTTCTGAAATGTAAAACAATGAAGTAGCCATTCAGTAGCTGTTGATATTGAGTGTACTGTAGTTCAAGCAAGCACTTAATTGCTTTTCTTTTCCTATCAGATGGTGAGTATCCATAGGGTGTCAGGGCTGAAGAACCCAGCAGAGATGACATACTACACCCAGCACAATGGCATTCCTTTATCAGGCACATCAGCTGCCAAGGTCCTGAACACAGTGGATTCTCAGACCATGGCGCTCACCCTGGGCTACTTTGTCCAGCTGCAAGCAGAACGTAAGTACAGCATCCTTGTAGCATTTGACAAGTAGACAGAAACACTGATGGACAGACGTCAAACCAGAACTCATGACTCCTGCTGAGTATAGAAGGAAGAGGTGGTGTTGGGGTGAGGGAAGCAGATGAAAAGGATGCAAAAGCTCTTTGCTCTCTAATCTCTGTGAAATGCTCCCGGCAGGCCATTGTTTGGACTGCAGAGCTGCTCACTGTTCAGAGAAAGGGAGAAGTGGGAGAGGGTGAGATGGTGGTGGTCAAGAGAAAGTGAGAGAGACTGGGCATGCTGCATTTTCTTATAGACTGTTGCCTACAGTAGCTGAATTAGGCTCACTGTATATCAGGTTGAGCTGTGTGCAGTGTCAGCATGGGTGTGACGGATGTTTCTGCATGTTTTAGTCGAATGTGTATTATACGTCCAGTAAACCAATCAATAGATGTGCTGTTGTGATGGGATGATGGTGTTTTTCTTTTTTCAGCTGTGGTCAAGAACCCTCCTAATAACCTTTGGATAATCGCTGCAGTGTTGGCCCCTATTGCTGTAGTAACACTCATTATAATCATCATCACAGCTGTACTGTGCAGGAAGAATAAAAACGACTTTAAAGCTGATGCCATCAGCAATCTCAATCCCCGAGCTAAGGTATCCATCTTCTCTTTGTTTATATCTGTCTATCTTAAAGTAGAGCTGAAATGATTCTGATAATCACTCTTGGTTCTATTTTGATAAACAAGTCACTGTGTCGGTCATTTTTAAAGCTTTTCAGATGTGATAAATTGCTGCCTTGTCATTGTAAATTCAGCACGGTTAGGTTTTGAGCTGTTGGTTTGGACAAAACAAGATGTCTGTAGATGTCACCTTGGGCTCTGGAAAATGGACATTCATCACTAGTTTCTGGCACTTTATTACAAAATGATTAATTAAGGAAATAATCAGCACATTAATTGATAATGAAAATAATGAATTACTATAATTAGTTATCACCATAAAGGCGTTTGTGACTTCATAGTTACGGTGTGCAGACTGTGTGGTACAATATATGTCAGTTAGTTTCCAGTGATCAGTGTGTGGGTGCCCTTTTGAAAGCATGTAAAAATAACACTTTATTTTATGGGTCTGTAAATTCTAATTAAATTTGAAATAGTTGCTAAGGCAGTTTCCAGGAAAGAACGATGCATTTTGGTTTTAATTACAGGTAAAATGAGAGTGATCCTATTGGTACACTTCCAATTAATTTCAAAAGCAAAGCTAGGCCAACCTTGAGACGTTCAGTCAGAGGACATCAGGTGAGCTTAACAAGCGAAACGTGAACTATATCTACAAAGAAACACACAATTTAGCATCGGTGACAAATAAAGATTCCAACAATTAGTGATGATGAATGATTAATATATATTACTGGGGTTTACATTGAACAATTCCTTTCATGGAAATTCCTCTGCAAGCCTGTAGTAAACAACACAAATGATTTAAATAACTCAATTTATAGTATCAGAATCGAATCTGTTATTCCCTGCCTTTTCAGGAAGGTTACTGAGAAATAATGGACATATCAAATACAGCCCAGATAACAAAATGTTATAGTAATAGTTTTGTTTTATATTCTGCAGTGTTTGTTTAATCACATTTATATGATCTGTTTTAGGCATTGGCAGATTTGTTATCAATTTCTGTAACTTGAACACCACACACACATACACACTGTTTAAATTGTTTTCTCTTGCTCATGCTTTTCAGATGGCGTATCGGAGAGATGTGGGCTTTTATCACCAGGTATCTGTTTTTCTCTGTGTCCTCTCATTACAGAGCTGTGTTTTCATCTTTAGGGTTCAACTGTGCCAAAAGCAGGATTTGAAAGCGACTCTGGGCCAACATAACCAGTGATATATTTCGATAAATCACCAGCACTTTGGAGTAACAGACCTTTTACAATGAGATTTTCCCAGATGAAAAGCTGCTATTACCTTTTCTTCTTGTAGCATTCTCCAGATGGCAAATTTGAAAGACTAAGCTTTATAGAAATTGGTTATTATGGAGATTGGTTTTTCAAGTATCAGTATGTGTGTCTGTGTGTGTGCTGATCCTTGTTTGTTTTGTGTAGAGAAGATTGAAAATCGTTTCCATTATTGTTGCATCAGCTGTGACACAATGTTGTCAAAGTTATTTCTTTGCCTCCGTGCTTGTTGTTTTTTGCGCTTGGTGTTTTCACTGTTAGTGTAGGAGCTGCTTTCAGATTACAGACAATCTAAGGGCCTATATTATATGTAAAAAGACCAAAAACCTTAATTCCAACCTTCTGTTAAACCTTCACATTATACAGTATATTGTCAGCTCTTTCTAATAAGAGATGTGAAAAGAAAATTCTTAAAATGTTCAAAGATGGAGCAACTTCTAAAAATGTAAATGAGGCTCTTGCGCTGCCTCTTTTGTATAACTCACACTGTCTGAATGCTTTCATTTTGAAACCAGTTACAGCCCCACTTTAAACTGGATCCAGAGAAAATCTTTACTCTCCTTACCCGTGTGTGTGATATAGGTGGAGAGAAGATGTACATTGTTCAGTCAGCGAAGTGTCACATATTGATTTTGCACCATGGCGTGGTTCCACTGAGGCAGGGATGTGTCTGACAATTTATGACACTGCAATATGAGCAGTCCTAAATATTTCAGTGTGCGTGTATTAATCTGTGGATTTGCACCCTACCTCTTTCTAGAAACATATATATATTCATATATATATATATATATATTCATATAGAAACACCTTATGGAAAAACAAAATCATTCCTCTTCCTCTGCCCTTTTATCCTCTAAAGTATAACTTCATTTGTATATTTTTGTAAAAGTCTGTAACTCTCACCTTGTCACCGCCCAATGTGAGTCATTTCTTTCAAACTGAGGCTGTTTCTTTTGTCTTTCTCCACCTTCACTCCATCAGCCAGTCCAGGGTTTTGACTATGCTAAGCAGCACCTGGGCCAACAGTGCGGAGATGAGGAGACCCTGCCTGCCAGTCAGGATACCTTAATGATGTCCCTACAAATTCGGGACCCTCCACTTTCACTAGAAAAAGCCCTGCAGCAAGATGGAACTGCCAACAAGAAAATCTGCACCACTGACAAACATAAAAGGTATGGCTATCGCTACACATATTCACCAAATTAAACATTTTGTGATATTTTATTACTGAAAACCTTTAACAATTTCAATATTTTCAGACGACTAAAGACTGAACTGTAAATTGAATAATGCAATAGTGTTACTGTAGTAAAATAAAATCTTAACATTCCCTACAGCTGATGATTTTGACTTTAGGTTTTACACTATATATATATACAATATCTTACATCCGTCTAACAGAGGATGTGATTTATTTTATCTTGAAGGTAGAATCAAACACTGCACGATAAGTATTTATGATCATTATTTCATAAATTAATTAAAGGTCTATTTACGAGCAATCAAGGACTAAAAACATTAAAACATGAGGAGTCATAGATTTAGATAGATGTGTGTTTGTCTCAAATTTGTGTTGTTTGTGGGTATATAGTATGTAATTTTAGAACTCATCTTTTAAGTGTGTACTTCACTCTGGAAAAGTTAAGGTCTTCGAGGTGCATGCTGACGTGCATTTGTTGTTTTAGAGCCGGGCTGAAATGTGAATACTCCTCACTTTTTGTATAACACTAGCTGGGCAGAATTTACTAAACGTGAGGGTGGCACAGAGGAAAGGCTGAGTTGTTAGGTAAATCAAAAGCATTCCCCCGTGTGCAGCAGCTGTTAGCTCAACTCAGACCAGACTCAGCTGTAGGTTTTCAGACTCACCTCTGCTGTGCTCTGGTAACATGTTAACTGAAGGAATATGTTGCATCCTCAACCAAACGAAATCAGCTGAATCATGTCAGTTTATTCAGAAATACTTTAGGGTTTCTCCTTCAACAAACCTTCAAATATATTTGTTACCCTATCTGTGTGTGTATTATCTCAAGGATTGCACCTCTGCTTGGTCAGAAAGCTCTTGGGCCACATAGAGAAAGGCAGGGCGATAAAACACAAAGATCCCCCCAGCCCTACTGTCTGTCCTCATTCCACCCTGATGCTGAATGATAGGTGGTCATTAACAGTGTTCTCTGTATGGGCAGGTCAAATTGACCATTTTCCTCTTTTGACAGGCAGTAGTGCTGTTTTGGAAATTAATTGCCATGTTAAATCATGCTAAATTATTTAATCAGGCAAAAGCAAAAGGGCGTCATTTTTCAATTCCATGCAGGATAATGAGATTCCATAAAATTTATGTGACATGGGAATCTATAGACTTGAGGCAGTAAAGATTTCGGAGACTCTTGAAGCAGCAGTTGTTATTTATCAAAGGTTAATATCTTTTTATGAGCTCTCATGTTAATATGTAATTGTTTATTCAGATTTCATGCAGCTGTTTCGTTGGACACAACAGCTTGTCTCTTCCCTGCTTTTTCTTAAGTACGCAGAGGTAGTAACATCATAAATAAAAATCAGGAGATGAGGTTAAAGTAGTATGGAACTCCTTTTTCAAAAATTATCTTGAGCCTGGTTGACTTACTAGCCACACGAAGGTACTGTAGGCCGTATCTCACAAGCTCAGTTTTCATTATGAGGGGATGGGACCTCCAAAGAGAATACATTATGAATATATTAATTAAGGCAAAACCTGCTGTTCACCTGTAGGACAGCATATTTGAAATGACATCTGTCCCAAAACGCCTTCAGTGCCAGACAAAGAGAAGTTGAAATTTGCTGAATCATGGTTCCTGTATGTCAGAGATGCTTTATGCAGTTTAGAGAAGATTGTACCTTTGTCACAGTTCCCTAAACCATGGAGGCTTTCCTTGTAAAGTTAGAAAATAATCAACAGAGCCTGAAGTATTCATTCATTTTTTTCCCATCACTTCTTAATGTCAAAAAAGATTTAGATAGTATAGCTCACTGATTCAGGGCTAGGATGTTGGTATGTATATGGTGAACAGTGACAAAGCATGCAAATATGCTGTCACATCTGTTAGCCACTAACACAGGATCAAACATATATAACTATAGCCAGTGTAAACATATTTCTGCACACCTCAGCTAATTTTTACACATTACATGTCTTTGTTGAGCCTGTAACTGTAGCACAAAGCTAGCTCTCTGTAGCTGCTGCTCCACTGTTTCTCTTTGCTGTTATCATTCCTACCAGACAATTAGGGGATAGACTGTGGCGCTTTGATGTCACTTCAGCCTTGGCATCCTCTGAGCTGCTGCTTGATCAACTCATAATTCCAGCTACAGTACAGGATTTGAAGCTAGCGAAACAAGAATTGGATAAAGCAATTGTTTGTCTAATTAATGGATATGAACATGCACTAGTTCTGAAACACAGAGAAAAGCACATCCATAATACACTTATAGCCTACTATAGACACATGAACATAAAATGCACATGTTCTAAAATGCAAACAAGCAGATAAATGCACAAGACATTTATTACTGCTGTGTCTTTTGGGTTCTGTTTTTCTAGTGTTGCTGTAATTTGTGGACCATTCAAAATTTTCTAACATTTGCTGAAATTTCACTGTAAAACCAGTGGATATCAGTGAACAAAATCTGAACACAAAGGACTGAAATCGTGAGCACACGTTTTATTCATTTATCTAACAAAAATACAGTAACAATGCATTATGATTATTGGACTCATGCCTCAGAGATGGCGAGAGGAAGGTGAGGTGGTTAAGAGGAGGGATGACATAATCTGGCTGTGAGCCCAGTTTCAGGAGCGCTCACCACCTTTCCTGTTGCTATGGCTACATGCAGCACATCGCCGAGTGGAGATGGTTCCGTCATCAGCAACGAATCAGAGAAGCTGAATTCCAGCAGGGGCTTGACAGTGCCGAAAGTCACAGCACAGCAGAAACTGACAAAGGAGGCAACGCGCAAGAGGGATGGTGAGAGTCACATAGTGATGCAAATACAAATAAGTTATTCTATAACTCCACTGCAGACAAAGACAGGTGTGTCAGAAATGCAAAAAACCATTTCACATTCCGTTCTGTATGTAACACCTCTCCAGTCTTGGTGAAATGTACAGCCACTGCAGCGTTTTACAGCCATAAAGACAGCCACAGCCAAAGGTGAACCTGATGAACATACATGAGACATGCTGACATGATGCAGTATGTTGAAGTAGTGAATACTGTGACACACTGGCACATATTCACTAATGCAAAAAAATAAAAAATGCAGAAAGACCATGAAACATTCTCACATCTTGTGCTGTTCTAAGATTCTGAGCAGTTTAATTAAAAGCTAATCACTGTTCTATTCTTGTCCACGGGAGCTAAATGGTCCACATATAGTGGGTGTGAGTTAAATTAGTCTAATTCAAACACTCTACTTGTAAATTAGATTGAGTTCACAGTATTATGGGTTTTTTTAAATGTCTGGATTTGAATAATTCATCAGCTGAGTTAAGGGAAACTAGAACTGATTCCAATGTGTCTGGTGTCAGATAAGGAATGAAAGTGCAAAGTCAGTTTCTTTCATTTATCACGGACATGCATTGCCATCTCCTCAGAAGCCAAAGCTACCTTTGAGATCTATTGTCTTCGTCCACCACTTCATTTGCTGACACAGACGATGAATGGTAGACATAATCCTACAGTGTCAGCCACAGAAAGACAAGGTGTCGAGAGCGAGGGAGAGGAAGGGGAAAGAGAAGACAGAGAGACAAAAAAGGGAGAGTGACATTTTGTTTAACTGACAACGAAATGATTAGAGGTATTTGCAGTTTCATGATGAGTAAATTCCCTCTCTGTTCTTTAGATCCATATGACACCTCCACTGGCTCCCTGCAGCTCATTTCCATAAAGCCCATGGCAGCTCAGCCCGACTACTCACACCCTGCGTCATCTGACCGTAGCCAGGATTCAGCCATTGTCAATGGAGAGGTGATACACATGCACACATCTCCTTGTAGAAATATACAGACTGACACATACACAAATACAGATAGGAACACATGCAAAAATTCATTCTATTTCCCCAGGGACTTACGATGTAGAATGTGGTTTTTACAAGAACAGACTATTTTCTGCCAAAGTTAGAGCAATTTTGTTTCACATGATCTATTTATGTATTTGTTTTCATCAGTTGAAATTGGCCAGAGCTCAGATAAAAAAAAACAACAACAAAAAAAAAACAGAAAACATATTTCTGTGCATCAATCACAGTAAAGCAAGATTTACATTTGCGGGGTCATTTGCTAATTATACAGTGCCACACTGACACCATTCAAAGAGACAAATTTACTTTTTGGAGTTTTTGATTGTTACCTTCTTAATAAACAGCAAATAAATATGTTTTCTACCCGGTGTCATGACTATTCAGTTTTAAGGGCTTTAAAAGATACATCAAATATATGATATAAAATAGAAAATAAAAATGAAAACATTGTTTTAATTTACTTATATAATTTGTGAATTTGCATGAAGATAAGAGAGGATTCGGTGCATGAAACTGTGTGTAAAGTTTAGAGGAGGCCTTTTCATGTGCTGATCACAAACATGTTCCTGCCATTTCTCTGTTTTAAAATATGATTGTTTGGATATATTGTGAGTTCCTTCAAGAGTCATTCCCCAGCAAATTATATAATATTTATATTATTAACAAGATCAAAGAACATCTGGAAGTGCACTTCATTGATTCCATCTGGAATTTTGAAGCCATACAATAATCAAGAGAAATAATATGTTTAGAATTTTTCTGACTGTGATTATTGCATAGTAGCAGAGTTTTGTATTCTCATAAACCCCGTGATCTTTCCTCCACAAATTACTGTACCTTTAAGGCGAAGCAGAACAACACTGCACACAGCAAGAAGAACCTTTTCCTGTTCTGATCTCCCCGTCCTCCTCTGTGTCCGGCACTCTTTTTTTTCTCTGCAGGTGAACTTGGCTCTGAAGCAGAAGTCAGACATCGAGCACTACAGAAACAAGCTGAGGCTGAAGGCTAAGAGGAAGGGCTATTATGACTTCCCCTCTGCCAATGGCAGCAGCAGCGGTCCAGCCCTAGCGCAGAGACAGCGGCACTGCCATGAGAGGGCAGCCGGTGAGCATGGCAGACCACTGGAGCCTGATGATGAGCGAGGTTCCACTTATGTCAAGTCTCACAGGAGGTGAGGGGGAGAGTGGAAAAGCAAGAGGAACCTGGGTTTGGCTGAGTGTAAACAGAAAGAAAATCCATGCTCACATAGTGGTGTAAGGAGACTTCTCATACTATATGAGGATACAGTTTGAACAGTCATAAAGAGCTGCAGGTGACATGGCATTTCATATCAGCTGATCTAACCAGGGCCAGGCATCCATAACTGCTGACCCCTGCCTTATCTAATAACCTTATAAATAATTGAAACCGGCCCCTCTAACATTGTCATTATCCCTTCATTGAAGGCAGTGAGCTTAGGTTGATCCATGCCCTGAGCTTCCATAATGGGGATAAAAGGACTGACGAGGGGGCTGGACAGTCCACTATGCTAATTCTGTCCTGCTTCTGCTTTACTAAAGCATGTAAAGAGGGACCGTCTTTACAGATTTAGGTGTAACATGTAACCATACTGGCTGCAATGAGAATCGGAAGCAACTTTTAAATCTAGTGTGCTTGTGCATATTTTTATGTTCCACCCTGGTGAGCAAGATAAGGGTTCAAGTAGCTGCAGTATTTATTGTCAAAATTAGCGTCTAGGTGATCAGCTACACCAACAACATGCATTTTCACAGCAGAAGTGATCATATTGGAGTAGTTTTGTGACACAACATTTAGTAAGATGAGTGTAAATGTTTACACAGCTCTTTTACTTGATATTTTTATGATATATCCTAACATACAATGTGTATTTGGTAACTTCTTGAAAGGGCATCAAATACTTTGTACATGTCATGTACAAAGAATCAAGAAGGTTCTTGATGTATAAGAGAGAGTCACAGCAAATTTCACTGTACACAAGCATAAGGACAAAAGACATTTTATCTTTATTGTACCAGACCTTACTGCCATCATCCATCCCTTCTCACTGCAGGCACACTGAAACCGTGAATGAAAGTAAGTGAAATGCTTTAATTTAATAACTACCACAGGCCTGAATCTACTCTTCACTCTAACTGGCAGGCACTCCCAGGTGGGGCAGGTGGCCTATCGAAGCAGGCAGAGTCTGAGCAGTCCCAGTCCTGGAGGAACCGAGATGGACCTGCTTGTTATGAGGGAGAGACCCAGGAAAGGGATCCGCAACAATGGCTATGACGTGAGTCACATGTGATCACCCATTCACTCTGTCTCCAAACAGAATGTAGTTAGTGTTTACCATTTTGAAAAGCAGCATCTCCTCTAAGAAAGCAATTAACAGAAAAATATTTCATTTATACTGCAATATATAGTACTTTTAGAAGACTGATGCAAGTGATGTACTAGCAATAATAGCTTTTATTTGTGAATCACATAAATATTTAACCTGTATTTGTTGATGTTGCACTAAGAATCTACTAGTCAATAATTTATTAATTTAAAAAACTGATGCTATTTTCAGTTTATGTAAAAATATCAGTCAGACCTTAGCAGTGCTCAGTTCTGTGTGTTATTGCCCTATTTAAGACACTGTGCGGCACTAGAGCTAGAAATCAGACCTATTCTTCTCAGATGTGCTTTCAAGTGTGCCACAGAAAGATGAAGAGGGAGTTGTTCATTCATAATTAAGAGTTAAGATTTACGACATCCTGTCGCTTTGATATATAATGCATCACAGGATGGCAGGTTTATACCTCCACTTTTTTATTGTTCAATTATGGCTCTGAGTGCGACTCCTTCTGCCTTGAAGTCAGAATACTAGTGTCTGAGTTCTCGGAGTAATCAAATATAGACCATCCCTAAAATGAGATTTCATTCTGAGCTGTTCTTTTGTTAAAAATAAATAAAATAGCAGTGATTGGAATGAAATTTGACCTGCTAGCCAGTTTGATGTGGCATAGCAGGAAAAAATAAAGGTTTAACTGGCTCTAGTGTTGTGCATGCTGGTTTAGTGGGCTGGCTTACTGGGACACAAACATGGAACATCAGTTATTATATAACCCGGTGCTTTTCCTACTATTGCAAATACATGTCTGCTGTGTAAATAGCCTCTTGAGCATTCTATTTAGAACTTTCAGGCACATGCGACTAGAGTACAAGATGGTGCCAAAACGCCACATCTTAACATTACACATATTCTGACTTTCCATTGCTGTGACTCTGTTGGTTTGTACTTCCTGTGGCTAAACTCAATTGTAGCCAGCTATTTAGCTCTGTTAATTATATGACATAATTAATCAGTGCAAGCTACATGCTTCCCTTTCAGAGCTTCTGAGCCTGTTGATTACAATGTGACCAGTGTAGCTGCAGGCCCCATCACTGCAGATGCATTTCTCTGCTGATTTGTGTATTTTTTTTCTATTTTTTTTG